TCACTTTACCCAAAGCAAGGATTCAGCACAGTTTCATATAAGTTGGGAGACAGTACAGTGGCCTCTAATATTTCATGATTCCTCTGATCCCTTGACTGGCCTATAGAGCTGACGAAGACTCTAAGTCGGCATTACTGGCCCAGACAATACTATAGTCTGCCCATGGAAGGGATATTTTCTGATGAGATTTTAAGGGTCAGTGTCTGTCTTATTGCTTACTGGGTTGGCAGTGGTATCTATAGGCATTAATAACATAAGTTAGTGGGAGGTCGTAGGGATGACTCAATGCTTTGGTAGAGGAAGTAGCTGTCCTTATCTTATAGACAATTATATAGGTTGCATACCAAATGGGCTCTGGTCTAAAGTAGTTCACTAAATAGTGAATATGGTGCCATTTGGGAGGAATCCATAAATGACTTTTCAGTTACAAAGTGTGATTATTATATCTACAGTGGCTTGCGAAAGTATTCACCCCCCTTGGCATTTTTCCTATTTTGTTGCCTGCCTTACTACCTGGAATTAAAATAGATTTTTGGGGGGGTTTGTATCATTTGATTTACACAACATGCCTACCACTTTGAAGATGCAAAATAATTTTTATTGTGAAACGAACAACAAATAAGTGTGCATAACTATTCACCCCCCCAAAGTCAATACTTTGTAGAGCCACCTTTTGCAGCAATTACAGCTGCAAGTCTCTTGGGGTATGTCTCTATAAGCTTGGCACATCTAACCACTGGTATTTCTGCCCATTCTTCAAGGCAAAACTGCTCCAGCTCCTTCAAGTTGGATGGGTTCCACTGGTGTACAGCAATCTTTAAGTCATACCACAGATTATCAATTGGAATGACGTCTGGGCTTTGACTAGGCCATTCCAAGACATTAAAATGTTTCCCCTTAAACCACTCGAGTGTTGCTTTAGCAGTATGCTTAGGATCATTGTCCTGCTGGAAGGTGAACCTCCGCCCCAGTCTCAAATCTCTGGAAGACTGAAACAGGTTTCCCTCAAGACTTTCCCTGTATTTAGCGCCATCCATCATTCATTCAATTCTGACCAGTTTCCCAGTTCCTGTCGATGAAAAACATCCCCACAGCATAATGCTGCCACCACCATGCTTCACTGTGGGGATGGTGTTCTCGGGGTGATGAGCGGTGTTGGGTGATGAGCGGTGTTAGATTGCACACAGGTGGACTTTATTTAACCAATTATGTGACTTCTGAAGGTAATTGGTTGCACCAGATCTTATGTAAGGGCTTCATTGCAAAGGGGGTGAATACATATGCACGAACCACTTTTCCGTTATTTATTTTTTTCACCAATTTTGACTATTTTCATTACATGAAATCCAAATAAAAATCCATTGAAATTACAGGTTTTAATGCAACAAAATAGGAAAAATGCCAAGGGGGATGAATACTTTTGCAAGGCACTGTATAGTCCAGTACTTATGTCCACCATAATAAAGCTAGCTGAACATGCTAATTTGGGATCATGCATTTCCCCATAACAGTAGGCTACCTGTGTGCTAGACCTTTAATGGACCTTATCTTTAATACCAAGTGTTCTCCCCCAAAACTATGTTTTGTTTGCTTAGTAAAGCTGTTCATATATTTCATAAGTAATTAGGGTATCACCATACAGTACATCATGAACCAGCGGTATCAATATACATATCATGTTAATTAACCTATGGTCCCGTCAGCTGAGTCTGTCATTAATATGTCTCACACACACACACACAGACACACACACACACACTCATGCACACACACACAGTCATACACACACACACACATTCATACATACACACACACACACACACACACTCATACACACACACACACACACACACACACACACACACACACACACACACACACATCTCTCATTAAACAGCTGTGGGCCTCAACCACCACCCACCCATCACTCCATCAAGGTGGTGCTACTGCCCTGGCCCGTGGCTGCATCCAGCTGCCATGCCTGGGTAGTGGCAGGCATACGGGCAGGCCAGACAGGCTCTGCAGCTGCCTTCTCTCCAAGGACCAGGACCACGTCAACCATGTCCAGGTGGGGACCAAGCCCAGGGAGGGGAGGTGGAGCTGGGGTGGAGATGGGTTGGGTGGAGGGGGTGGTGGGTGGACCAGATTATGGAAATGCATATAGGAGAGTCCAGGTGGGGACAAAGCCCAGGGAGGGGAGTTGGAGCAGGGATGAAGAGGGGTTAGGTGGAGGGAGTGGTGGTGGTGGTGGATGGACCAGATTATAATGCATATAGGAGAGAGTCCGAGGGATAAACTGGGGGGTAGACAGGTGATGGATGGCATGGACTTGGGGTAAATTACATCATGTTATTGTAATGTTATTGTAATGTTGTTGTAATGTTATTGTAATGTTGTTGTAATGTTATTGTTATATAAGTTGTGTTCAATTAACAGCAATGTGCTGTGTGTTTTAAGGGTTAGCTGTTCTGAGAGGAAGTTGTGTGAAATCCCAAGGACTGGATTTATAGCAGATAATTGGGCTTAGAGAGCTCCTCTCACCCACTTATAAAAAGAGCGAAAACAAATCCTCTTATCTTTGTAATGAAGAACTGACGTGGAAGATTAAGTACTTTCTGAGTTGTGTTGTTTACAACTAACAATGTGATGCAAATGACCATATTAAGACTAAGGGAAATTAACAGGATATGGGTGGTTGGGTGTACATAGTCCCAGCCATGGTCATCTCTCCCTAAAATCTATTGTGTTCAGCTGGATCCAGTAACATTATCTATGTCCCCAATGCCACCCTATTCCCTATATAGTGCACTGCTATTAACCAGGGCCCATAAGTCTCTGGTCAAAAGAAGTGCACTATTTAGGGAGTAGGGCGCCATTTGGGAAGAAACCATTGGTAATTTGTTAACACAAGCCTTACATTTGTCATTGAATTTCTAATGATTATAGAGAAATCAAATGATTGACTTGAACTGGTTGCTGTGGAGTAATTTCCTTCTCCCCCATGTTGCTACACTGACTAACTAATGTTCTGCTTTGCATTGTGCACATTGACATGACTGCCTGAACATCTGCTGTTTAAAAAGTTCTGGATTTTAATTAGGATTATTTTGGCATCTCCTAGAGGGATCTACCATATTGCTGGAGAGAATGCAGGTGCCTTGCCTCTCTATCTAATGTATCTCTATTTTGAATTACACATCATGCCACAAGCCACTTGACCTTCTCTTTGTCCTCTGCACAATGGTCCAGGAGACATTATGTTTATATTCGCCGAATGGCACTCACATGAGTGAATGAAATGTCAATGAGTCCTTTTGATTTGGATTCCATCAAGACGTTTGGGTGTTGCAGCAACATCCCAGACTATTATTATGCAAATGACTGGCGCACGAGCTTCTATATTTTTCCTGCCTTTTTCAGCTGAACTCAGCAGTTCCCGGGAATATTCCGTGCAAGGTGCAAGCAGAATAGACTGTTCTCTCTTGTCTTTTTTTCTACCGTTCCATAAACAAGTCAGGTCATCCCCTCATGGCTATCCTCAGGGTACGGTGGAGTTTGTTAACCACTAAACAAGGTGATTTTATGCCCTGTTTTCGCGGTGTTGTGGAGAGTGTCTTTGTTGGTTATAGTCCTCTCTATATGGTGTGCTAGACAGGGTCAGAGTGAATCTACACTAGCTACGAACTGCTATCATCAGCATGAAACGCATAGGCTACATCCCTGAGGCAAAAAAAAGAATACTATAAAAACAAAAACCTTCACACATAAAATAGACAGATTGTGCTTAAATAATTCTGACGAAAGTTAACATATATTTACAGTATGCCTACTTCTGTCCAAGGTAAGCATAGCCTACAGTATAGGCAATAGTGGTAGCCTAATATGTGCGTAGCCTATGCTTATTATTAAAGTCGTATCAAAACTTGTATAGCATATCCGGACTGCAGTGCACATTTGACCCATACTATGGCACGGTGCACGCGGGGGACTAGCCGGGCGCTGACACAAACACAAAGGCGTCCTGCTGCAGTAAAGAACAAAAATAACACCATGTCAAACAACCAAGGATACTATTGCTCCTGGATCCCCGTTAATTACACACATATGGCTCCTACAGGAATCATTGAGGAAAAGGACCTTCTGGTACCCAGCTCATGTGATTTGCATAAAAATAACACTATTGGTTTACAGGGTGTGATGTAAAAGAGTGACCTGCAAGCCTCGGGCCACATCCAGCCTTTGGTTGTGTGGTTAGCGTCAGCGTTGATTTAAAAACGTGAAGTGGGCGGGCAGATTTTGTAAAAGTGGTAGAAGATGCAGTCTTTTCTTTTTAAAACGTTGAACTCCAAAGTGAATCCTTACTGGCCAAATAAAAATGAATTTACGATAACTTACTCTCCCATAAAAAAGGAGCCTAAACATGCTCAATGTTTAGTGTTTAATGTTTAATGCTTAATGTGTCAGTAAGAAAATATAGCACAAATGAAATCCTAGGCCTACAATACTATACAAAAATATCCTATAGCCTACTATTATTATATATCATTCTTAATATATTTTTGGTGTATATACGCATAGATTGCATTTGGATTACTGTTAAAGTGTTATTTGGGTTGTTAACTGGATTCGTCCTGACATTAGTGATTTCTTGTTTCTAGTTTTGTATTATTATTCGTGTTGTTCTTTGCCATTTTTACCGTACTGTTAGGAACTTAACACAAGCATTTCCCTGCACCCGCTATAACATCTGCTGAACTGTGTATGCGACCAATAAACTTTGATTTGATTTTGATTTGATTTGATTTCCTTGTCATAGCTTAGCATTTATTGTGATGATTTACAAAAAAATGCATAATAGCCATCATCATGATAAAACATGACTCTTTGTTATACACGGGAAAAAAGAGAAATCGTGGACAACTCACCAAGTCAATAAATCATCCCAGTCCAATGTTGGTCCCGGGAGAGTTTTTTTTTATGGATTAAATTAAGCACTTCCATCTCCATCTCCCACCTGATCGCAGCCATATAAATCCCAACAGCTGATCAACAGACTTCAGAAAGCCCAAGACCTTCACAGAGTGCAGGACGGAGAAAGAGGAGAGAGCCGGAGCTAAAGCTGAGACACTGCGTTTTCATCTAAGTGGCTTTTTTTCATCATTTATACAATGAGTGGCAAATATTGACGTGGGGGCTGTGATATACTCTCTGAAGTTCAAAACGAGCCAAATCCTGGACGCAGTTACCAGCTTATTTTCTACGGTCAACTGTGAGGAGACTGAGGACAGCTGCACGAGGAAGAAAGAGAGAGAGAAGAGCGAAAGAACGGATCTCTTGCTGTGGGGGTGCTGTCCAGTGCTGAAGCCTGCCTGCCTATACATTCGCGCAGCACTGAAAGGGAGCTATCCAGTGCTGAAGTTGCATTTCTGACCAGCGGAACACAGGACTGCCGCACGAAAATCAGCAGCTCAATAAGGAGGATTCGGAAGGGGTCTCAGGCTTTTCGCCCTGTGCTGGCATCTGATCACACACAAATCGGCGTGCCGAAGAAGCGATTCCGCCCGTCTATACAGCCCCTTTTCCTCAGCCCTGCATGAGGAGTGATAGACTTAACCACCGGACGAGTGTTGTTTTGTTCAACGTGGAACCATGCCAAGATCTTTTCTGGTCAAAAAGGTTAAGCTGGATGATTTCTCATCTGCTGATCTGGAGAGCCATTATGGCAGAGTGAGGTCCGACCTCAGCCTCCGCTTTCATGAAAAAGGTAAACCTGTTATTACCTGTTACTTTGATGTTAATAGTCTACACTATCTTTTATCTGCGTAGACAATGTTTTATCATATGTTGTTTGGTCTTATATGTGTATAGCCTATTAAGCGTTTACTGTAGCATGTGTGCGTGCAGATAGCTTGTTGCACATCGAGCTTCGCTGACCCGCGGTCACATTGTATCCAACACAGTCATATATATTTTTGTCGACTCTGCACATTTTCCGAGGCAGGGATATTTAAAGTGCTCTACAGCGGAGCACAGAAGGTTAAACCCCTGTTGAGCTGCATCAACCCACAAGTGTGCAACATACAAGTTTGCAAGATACTGTAGATTAGAATACTGAGTTATAGTGTATCCCTTTGGATAATTATTACAAGCCCACTACCATAGCCACACACAGAGACAGACATACATAAGGGAGGGAGAGAGAAAGAGAGAGTCTGTCCGTCTTTTAAACGAACGCTTGATCATGTTTTAAGACATTATTTACGCTATTTAAAACATACAGTGCGCGCACTCGCATACTTGAATAACCAGACTGTATTTTGTCCAGAAGTACATTTGATAGATTATTCATGCATGTTCCTATCTCTTGGTTATGGAGTAACCTATAGCCCTGGATGTAAGTGCAGGCTATGTGTACGTTCAGTGGTGCACGTCGACCTATATTCTGAGATCTTTGTCAGAACGGCAAATGCAATTATAGGCTTACTGAAGTGATATTATTCCCCTCCCGCCTTTGTCCTTAAATGGGTTAGCATGCTAATTGAAATAGAGAGATATAGATTGTTTTTAGTGGAGTGATGTAGAAAAATACATTCACAAGAAGTCAATGTCTTTCAACCCACCTCTGTTGGAACTGTAAATTACTGAAATAATAGGCTGCAGAGCTCACGCGCTGTGAGTCAGAAATGAAGCCCTACAACTGGGCAGAATTGCACTGTTGCATCAATTGACACGAATAAAGCGCCCAGAATCCACCCAATGAGTAATCAGTAGGCCTAATCACACAAATAATTGAATCCGTTTTTTGTTCTTTTCAACGCTATAGGGTACATCAGTGACTACATGACCCCGTCTGTCTATGATGGCGAAAGTGACAATGGCATTAAAGTCCCCTCTCCCAGCCCCATCTACGATGGCATCCACAGCGACGGCATCCACAGCGACTACGGAACACCGGACTCAGACCAGCCCGACAGTCCCCAGTCCGAGATCTCATCCGGGTACATCAACGGAGACACCGCCGTGAGCGAGGGCTACACCGTAGACGCCTTCTTCATCACGGATGGAAGGTCGAGGAGAAAAGCCATCAGCAGCCCCAGGACCATACAGCGTCACACGTGCAACGAGTGTGGAAAAACGTACGCCACGTCCTCCAACCTGAGCCGGCACAAGCAGACCCACCGGAGCCTAGAGAGCAAGATGGCCAAGAAGTGCCCCACCTGTGGGAAGGTGTACGTGTCCATGCCCGCCATGGCCATGCATCTGCTCACCCACGACCTCAAGCACAAGTGTGACATATGTAGCAAGGCCTTCAGTAGACCTTGGCTGCTGCAGGGACACATGCGGTCACACACCGGCGAGAAGCCCTTTGGATGCGCGCACTGCGGAAAGGCGTTCGCCGACCGCTCCAACCTCCGCGCTCACATGCAGACGCACTCCGCTTTCAAGCACTACAAGTGCAAGAGATGCGACAAGACCTTTGCTTTAAAGTCCTACCTGAACAAGCACTACGAGTCCGCCTGCTTTAAGGGAGAGTTCTCGCCCATGAGCTCCATTGACGATTGACTTCTATAGTAACCATTAACACATCATGAAACTTATTCCAACGGTATCCCTATATTATTCCCTAGACAACCTGTTCTATGGTGACAGCACAGGTTTGTATCCCCTCCTGCAGCAAACAGCATCACTAAGGACATGTTGGATTACGCATGTAGCCTCCCTAAACTTTTTTCCATGGGCTATCCACCTTTGATCGTTATAACAACAACAACTTGTTCAACTATTATGAGTCGAAATTTCATGTGTTTGCCAAACTCACATGACATTGAAAATGTCTTAATTTCTCTCGAAGGTCAAACCTTTTTTAAGTATTGGACAATATTGTACTGCTGCCAATGGCCACAAAAGTGTTCAGTAGTGAGGTAAACCTATTTATTAATTCACTTATTTATGTATCTATTTATTTATTTATTTTTTACTTTCATTTTGTGTAGAATCTTCATTTGCACTTTAATTTAGTATTGTTTTGCAAGCATTCGTCATGAATATGCCAAAGCATTTGCCACTTTCTAAATATCGTCTTATTTTTGTTCGCCACTTTATAAACATATTGCATGCAAAAAACGATGATAATGAAATCTATGCCAATTTTATGAAGCTTTGGATTTTTGCCAAAATCTAGATATAATCCTTCGGTAATATTTCTCGGGAGTCTCATCATAAAGAACTATAGAGCAATAATGCATGGTATTTGTAAAACATAAATGAGTAATAACTATAACATTTTTAACACACATCACCCTTTTATCCAGTACTCTAGTAGTTATACATAAATTGAATATCAGGGAAACGCCAGTGAGTGTGGTATTTAATGGATAAACCCATGGGGTGGGATAGGGAAGGGTCCTTTTGTAAATGGTTATGCACTGCCTGCCTCGTATTTATCGTAGTCTTAGAACGTAGACTTCTGGTGCTGATCTAAAAATAGTTCCAAGCAATCCAGAACATCTCACCACCAAGTCTGTGGAACAACGCCCGAGGCCCAAACGACGGCGGCGCTACCCCATATCACGTCTCTCACAGGTGGACAAATAAGTTTATGGGTCACTTACAAGATAACTTTCACTGCACCAGGGCACAAAATGATCAACACAATAAGATGACCGTACTCTAGCCACGATAAAGTCCATTAATCTTATAAAAGCACTTCCTTATACTATGAACATTTCAACTTTTTAAAGATAGTAGCACAACAAGTAGATTCAGGTAGAAAGGCCTCGTATTAGCTATAGGCTAACCTCTGTTTTTGTACTATGCCGATCAAAGGGAAATAACTGTTTATTGCAAGACGCCTTGTACATAACCCTTTGATGAATATGATATTTCTACAATCTGTAAAGAATCAAATGAATCTTATTTCTGGAGTTCTTTTCCCTGGGATTTTTATGCCCAGTATTTGAACGATGTAAAGCACAATGGCACCGGGCATTTTGTCTCACTTCATAATAAAGAATCAATAAAGATCTAACACGATGTGGTCCATGTTTGTCTAAACCTTTTAGAGAAATCAGATACGTAGAAAGTATACCTATATATCATGTTTAGGCTACGTTGTTAATTCCTGAACTGTTTGTCTGTGATTATATATTGTGCACTAATTCGGTGTTGGATTTAGTGCAAGGTTTCAGACACTGAAATTGCAGAGGGTCACGTCAGGAGCATGTGCTGTAATGCAACAGCATGTTTCTGCAATAACAAGCACTGTTGAATGCTCTTGTTGACACTGCAAGGCAGACTTCAGTGACGCAAAACGCTCATCTGTTGATCAAAAAGGCTGCATTATATACTTCATTGCACACCATGTGCTTTAGGGGGAATAGTTTGAGGTCATCACATCTTCTGCTTTTTAATCCAAACAATACGTGATAATGTAATGATATCTCTTGAATTATTTATTCTATTTCTCTTTTCATAAATGTTTGTCCAAAATATGGGTTTTGCAATGGGGCCACTGTGACTTCAAAAGAAATATCTGCATGGATGATAGCTCTCCACGAATTAAGATGTTATCTCTTTCCAAAAAATCTACAGTAGCCTAATTGAAACTGAAAAGGAATTGTCTAATCTAACGAATTCCGCATGGGTTTTCCTTTTTACTAAGCAGCATTTGAGCACTTTGAAATGAGGTGGAAACAACGTTGATTCAACTATTGCGTGCCCAGTGGGCCGGAGGTATCATGCGGAGGTCAGGATCTCTTTATTTACTAATGGAATAGCCTTAAAGTTTAATTGTTTGCCTTCGAGGCCTGCAGCAGGTTCGTTTTGGTGATGTCAGCGGTACGACATTAACCTTGAGCAGACACGCCACTTCCGTGGGGAAGAATAAGCCTGCAGGCTTTCTCCAAGGTCCCCGCTGAACCAGTTATCTATCCGCGACTCTAAAGCGCTTGCTTCAAAGCGTCTCCTGCCGATTTGGTATTTTGGTATTTTATTAGGATCCCAATTAGCTGTTGCAAAAGCAGCAGCTACTCTTCCTGGGGTCCACACAAAACATGAAATATGACATAATACAGAACATTAATAGACAAGAACAGCTCAAGGACAGAACTACATCAAATTGAAGTCGGAAGTTTACATACACCTTAGCCAAATACATTTAAACTCAGTTTTTCACAATTCCTGACATTTAATCCTAGTAAAAATTCCCTGTCTTAGGTCAGTTAGGATCACCACTGTATTTTAAGAATGTGAAATGTCAGAATAATAGTAGAGAGAATGATTTCTTTATTTCATCACATTCCCAGTGGGTCAGAAGTTTACATACACTCAATTAGTATTTGGTAGCATTGCCTTTAAATTGTTTAACTTGGGTCAAATGTTTCGGGTAGCCTTCCACAAGCTTCCCACAATAAGTTGGGTGAATTCTGTCCCATTCCTCCTGACAGAGCTGGTGTAACTGAATCAGGTTAGTAGGCCTCCTTGCTCGCACACGCTTTTTCAGTTCTGCCCACACATTTTCTATAGGATTGAGGTCAGGGCTTTGTGATGGCCACTCCAATACCTTGACTTTGTTGTCCTTAAGCCATTTTGCCACAACTTTGGAAGTATGCTTGGGGTCATTGTCCATTTGGAAGACCCACTTGCGACCAAGCTTGAACTTCCTGACTGATGTCTTGAGATGTTGCTTCAAAATATCCACATAATTTTCCTTCCTCATGATGCCATCTATTTTGTGAAGTGCACCAGTCCCTCCTGCAGCAAAGCACCCCCACAGCATGATGCTACCACACCCGTGCTTCACGGTTGGGATGGTGTTTTTCGGCTTGCAAGCAACCCCCTTTTTCCTCCAAACATAACGATGGTCATTATGGCCAAACAGTTCTATTTTTGTTTCATCAGACCAGAGGACATTTCTCCAAAAAGTACGATCTTTGTCCCCATGTGCAGTTGCAAACCGTAGTCTGGCTTTTTTACGGCTGTTTTGGAGCAGTGGCTTTTTCCTTGCTGAGCGGCCTTTCAGGTTATGTTGATATAGGACTCGTTTTACTGTGGATATAGATACTTTTGTACCTGTTTCCTCCAGCATCTTCACAAGGTCCTTTGCTGTTGTTCTGGGATTGATTTGCACTTTTCGCACCAAAGTACGTTCATCTCTAGGAGGCAGAACGCGTCTCCTTCCTGAGCGGTATGATGGCTGCATGGTCCCATGGTGTTTATAGTTGCGTACTATTGTTTGTACAGATGAACGTGGTACCTTCAGGCATTTGGAAATTGCTCCCAAGGATGAACCAGACTTGTGGAGGTCTACACATTTTTTCTGAGGTCTTGGTTGATTTCTGTTGATTTTCCCATGATGTCAAGCAAAGAGGCACTGAGTTTGAAGATATGCCTTGAAATACATCCACAGGTACACCTCCAATTGACTCAAATGATGTCAATTAGCCTATCAGAAGCTTCTAAAGCATGACATCATTTTCTGGAATTTCCCAAGCTGTTTAAAGGCACAGTCAACTTAGTGTATGTAAACTTCTGACCCACTTGAATGAAATGGAGGGAAGAGAGAGAGAGAGTGAGAGAGAGAGAGAGAGAGAGCGAGAGAAAGAGAGAGAGAGAGAGAGAGAGAGATAGATAGATAGATAGATAGATAGAGAGAGAGAGAGAGAAAGAGAGGGAGAGAGAGATGGCATGGCTTTGAATAGGTGCTTTACATGTTTTGAATCATGGGCAACTTGCTTTGAACAGGTTCTACATTAAAAGTGTGTCAAATGAAGCATGAGGGGAAACGGAGGTCAAAGTAATTTGCAGTCATGATGCATTGGATGACTTAATCATCTTCACCATCAGCTGAGGTGGAGAGACATTATAGAGGAAGTATGGCATAAGACTATTAGATTAGCTGGTGATGGAAGGACATGGAAGGTTGGTGAATTGATGAGTAGTTTGAGGAAATGTGAGCAATGCAATGCAGACACAGGAGTAGCCTATGAGCACTGAGCAGAAGACTACTCCTCCCTAGCTGTGTTGCAGCATCATGAGTCACAACCTTTATTATGCTGGAAGGCCAAAAGTGCAGAGCCTCCCCACCGCTACCCAAGCCCGTGTGCCAGTTAAAAAATATCTAATGATGATGCCACACAATGACATCACTAGCTACACAGATTCCCCATCATACGCACACATACAGTGCCTTATTAAAGTCACTACTTTGACAGTGTGCGCGTGTGCGTGTGTGTGTGTGTGTGTGTGTGCTGTAAATGGATGAAAAGTGTGTGCATATTACATCACCGTCCATCAGACCACAAACCAGTGAGATTCAGATTCTAATCACTGGCATCTCTCCTCCTTATTTGTCAAGGTGAAGGGCAGCGTACCCAGTGCAATAACCCACATATCCATCCAGCTCTATTTAAGAGTATCTCTCACCCCAACACCACTTCCTCCTCTCTCTCTCTCCCCCTCTCTCTGTGTCTCTCTTTGCCACGAGCCACGAGGCGACCGACAGTGACACTTTGATTAAACTAGCTGTGATGCAGAGATTATGCTAGCTGGCATGGTTCCCACACCACAGGGGCCCCATGTGGCCCCGGTCCCAGCTCCATCCGGCACTGTAAAGTTATTGCTAATCATCAAACTCCTGCTCGCGTCATGTCACATGCCATTTCCCCTGAAAAGGGCATGATTAATGAAATGATTCATTGAGCTCGCGATATTATGAAAATTAATCCATTAATTCTTGTAAATCAGTTGTCCGCTCGCACTGGACGGCTGAGTACATCCCAGCACTTGGAGGGAATATCAATTTCACTGTCGCACGCAAAGCCTCTCTCAGTCAGATTCATCGGCCACTATTGCTTGCTAGAGACAGAGAGAGAGAGAGCGAGAGAGCGAGAGAGAGAGCGAGAGAGAGAGAGCGCGAGAGAGAGAGAGAGAGAAAGGGAGAGAGCGAGAAGGAGAGAGAGAGAGAGAGCTGGCTCCCACTAGGAATTTATCCAGTGACAATCAAAATGTCTGAGATGTTTTATCTTGATTATTATTATTGGTGGCCCATTGTCAGTCTTTGGAGCAGCCTCTGTCTTTAACTCAACTTAGATGTACCTCAGATAGCTGACCTTTGACCTGGTAAAGCTTGGGGTAATTTCCCTTAATAACCCCTTAAGCTCGAGGGTCATTATGTGCTTCTGGGAAAAGAGAGAGAGAGAGAGAGAGAGAAAGAGAGAAGGGGGCTTGCCTTGCAGTTGTTGTTGTTTTCTCCAGAGGCGCAGGGTAATTGTGCTGGGAGGGCTGCATCAGCACAAGCCATTACTTAAACAGCAGACAGGTGCAGGTAGGCCAATCCGCATGCATGTTGATTCAACTGACGTCTCACACACACACACACACACACACACACACACACACACACACACACACACACACACACACACACACACACACACACACACACACACACACACACACACACACACACACACAGATCAAATAAATTTAACCATTTAATTCACATCTATTACATTTATTTACTTTAGTTTTTTTTATTTCTACACATTTCAGTCCTAAAGTAAGGACAAACACTATTTGATTCCCCCTACAGTGCGTATTGATGGAACACATATTTCCTGTATGGTGTTAGAACAGTGTTGCGTGTTTCCATGGTAAGGTTAGAAGAGAAACAGATTGTTTTGAATGTGTTCAGTGTGTAAATGGCTCGCAGGACACACACACGCAGCATGTATGTGACAGTGTGGGAGGGAAAATCACACATTTGGCTGGCAGCTATGGGGCATCTGGCTTCAGCCTTCAAGCGCACCGGGGTTCAAATACTATTCTAAATCTTTCAAATACTTTCAGAGTTTGTTCTAGTCTGCCTGGAGTGCCAGATGGGTGGGGTTGACTGTTTCTGGGACTATTCTATTGGTCCATTAAGCCCGGCAAGCTCAATAAAGCACAGATCAAGTATTTGAAATGGTTTAGAATAGTATTTGAACCCAGGTCTGCCTTCAGGAGAGCTTCTAGTGCTCAGTTTAGATCTG